TCTCTCTCGCTCTCCCCTACTTCCTTCTTTCTCTAAAAATCAATGGAAAAAATATTCTTGAGTGAGGATTAACAAAATAAAAAACAAAGCAAAAAAGTAATTCATAGGCCCTAGTTACTTTTCACAGCTTTTTTCTCTTTTCCAATTTCTTTTTCTTAATATACTTTATTAATTTTTTATAGAAAGGAAGGGAGAGGAATAGAGAGTTAGAAACATCGAAGAGAGAGAAACATCGATCAGCTACCTCCTGCACACCCCCTACTGGGGATGTGCCCTCAACCAAGGTACATGCCTTTGACTGGAATTGAACCTGGGACCCTTCAGTCCGCAGGCCGACACTCTGTCCGCTGAGCCAAACCTGTTAGGACTCTTTTCCAAGTCCTTGAAATATACTTTCCAGAACCCAAAACTCCCTCCTCTATTACGAACTAGCCCAAATTGATAACTGACTTCAACTCTTCCTTCTTTCCATTTCCCAGATTGATTTCACTTCCCGATAAAGCCATCTCCCCATCGCCAGGCCTTTCTTGGTTATTCTTTGTGTGCACATCTTCTGATTCCTTATCCTAAAAATCTGAGTTTATCCGGTTGAATAGAATTTCAAACAGGGCAGAAATTGGCCCGTCATGATAGGGTTCTCTTTTGCAATTGTGTGGAGGGAAACGTTTCTGGGCCATTTCGTTTTACTAAATTGATCCTGCCTTGTGTGCTGTTTGCACTCTACAGTGAATGGTGCTGGACTTGCCATGGCTACTTGTGATATCATTTTCCTGAACGGTGGGAAGCCAGCCAACTTCTTGGATCTTGGAGGTGGCGTACAGGAAGCTCAAGTCTATCAAGCCTTCAAATTGCTCACAGCTGATCCTAAGGTAACTCTCTCTTGGGTGGAGGTGGCATAATGTTCTGGCTTCTCACCATCAAGGGCAACCTTGTTCCTGCTGCAGGGGGTTAGTATGCAGCCCAGAGGAGACCCTGCCTTACACACCATTGACATACCTGGTGTTTAACTCATTTGCGGTGAAAGTCTTGTTAAGTGCCTTATTTCAGAGGCTGTGCTTTAAGAGCTCTGGGAGGTGGCAGTAAATAAAACAGGTGTAGTGCCCCGAACAGTAATGCGTGGGCTGGCATGAAACATCATTTGGGTAATTTACATTGAAGCATTGTACTTATATGACTTAGAGAAGACTGGGTGTTGGATTCCTTTCATAAGATGCTGACGGTAGTATCATATGGTTGGAGACAGAATGAAAGGATAGGATTATATTATCATACTAGAGGCCAGGTTCATGAATTCGTGAACCAGTGGGGTCCCTCACCTGGCCTGCAGGATCAGGCCAAAACCACACATCCCCCGAGGGGTCCCAGATTGTGAGAGGGTGCAAGCCAGGTGGAGGGACCCCACTGGTATATGATCTGGCTGGGGAGAGATGCGAGAGGGGAGGGGCCGCGGGAGGGCTCCAGGGCGTGTCTGGCCTTCCCACTCAGTCCCAATCAACCAGACCCCAGCAAGTTAACCTACCAGTTGAAGCGTCAGCCCCCTGGTGGTCATTGCACATCATAGTGACTGGTTGACTAGTCGATTGCCCCCTGGTGGTCAGTGCACATCATAGCAAGCAATTGAACGGCCTTAGCATATATTTGTATATTATGCTTTGATTGGTTGACTAGACAATAGGACACTTAGCATATTAGGCTTTTGTTATATAGGATATTACTTGAAAATAATGACCACATTGCCTTCTGCATGTTTTTTATTTTTTATCTCTGACAGTTGCATGTGTTACACTTTATAATATATGCTCTTAGTAGCAAATGATACTGCTTTCTGTGTGTCTTGTCTTAACTAGAATGTAGCTATCACACCCAGGTACACAGTAGATGCTCAGTAAACATTTAATCAGTCTAAATACCAGTATGTCTTCTTCCATTGGAACTACTCGGTTGTCTATGATAACAAGGTTTAGGTGGGTATTTATTATGTGGACAAGACTAAAAATTTTTTAGTGTATCATCTCATGCTTTTAACAGTTCTGTGGGGTAGTGTATATGCCATAACAATTTGATTTTAAATTTTGAGAGTCATTATTTTGATGCTGTTAGATTATCTAAAATATCCTGTTGGTTCTTGAGACATATGAGGAAATGGGAAATCTGAACCTATCACCAAGAAAATCATAAATGAAGCCAATACCACATTTTTTTAAAAAGAAATGTAGTCTGAACTTAATGTGGGAACCTTTCATTAATAAGTATAATGGCACTAGGCCAGTGTATGTCAGTGGTTGAGCATCAACCTATGAACCAGGAGGTCACGGTTTGATTCCTGGTCAAGACACATGCCTGGGTTGTGGGCTTGATCCGATCGAGCAAGAGGCAACCAATCTCTGATTCTCTGTCATCATTGATGTTTCTATCTCTCCCTCTTCCTTCCTCTCTGAAATCAATAAAAATATATTTTAAAAATATATAATGGCAATAGCCTTTTTGGTTTCAATGTATAAAATTTTGTCTTATATTAGCATTACAGTATGCTTGTCTGTGTTCATTATGACTTGGGTAGTTGGTAACCTTCTTTTTGCTAAGACTTTTCCTTCTGACTTACAAATCAGTGGAAAGGTTTATCAGTTGCTTCTCTTCAGTTCGCCCGGCCATCGGGGAATGGCCAGGTCCCTGAAGTCAGGTCACCCAGCCAAGAAGGAAGTGTTCACGGGTGACTTTTCTGTTTACATAAGCACCTTATTTTCGTTAAGGAAGGGCATCACCAGTGGCTGCCTGCTTATTTATCAATTCATGTATCCCTTCTTACTGTTCCTCCCTAAGGGAAGAATCATTTTCTTCCCAGTGAATTTTAGACCAATTGAAACCTGTGAATAGTATGGATATCACACACAGCCCTGAGGCTGCTTGAACCATAAAGCAGCCAGGGGACAGGTATCTGTAACAACACACTGAACTTCCAGTGTCTGCCGAGACTCGATAAAGAATAACCGAGAACCATCAAGGGATTACATCTGCCAGGACAATCAGAGCATTTAAAATATATATATATTTTTGCCCTAGCCCGCTTGGCTCAGTGGCCTGCAGACTAAAGGGTCCGTGGTTGTAGGCTCCTCCCCTGTTCGGGCTCTGGTCAGGGCACATGCAGCAGGCAACCAATCCATGTGTTTCTCTCACATCGATATTTCTCTGTCTTTCCCTCTCTCCCACTCTAAAAATCAATGGAAAAACATCCTTGGGTGAGGATTTTAAAAAGTACACACACACACACACACGTGTGTGTTTTCTTACTGGCTGTTCTGAATTTTAATTCTGCAAAAATATTAGGTGGGGAATGAAAAATCACTTGCAGAGCCATTTTTTAAAAACTATCTTTCCCAAAATGTTGACTTTACCTTGAGTATTTTCCAATGCTTGCAGTGTTTAAACTTGTTTGAGATTGGCTGTCATCTTCGGTGGAGAAAGGTGTGGGAGTTATTTTTCTCATGCTATATCAGGAAAATGAATGCAGACCTCCTCCCAGAGTACATTTTCCAAAAATTGAAATTTCAAAGCCAGTTAAAAAGCAGAGGTATGTAATGGTATTTTCAACCCTGGCATTGTTTCACAGGCTTCAGAGCACAGGGCTGAGGAACACTGCCGCTGCATTGATTGGCTTCTGCAGGGAAACTGGCTGGGGCCTGGCAGCCGCTCTTTCCTGGCGAGCCCCATGCCTGCCCAGAAGTAGGTTCCCACGGGCCCGAACCTAATTATTTCAAAGGCATTGATTTTCCTGTTAGATGTAAGGGTTAGTCTAGTTGAGTGCACTGAAACTCAAACTTACTGAAGGTCTGTTGTTCAACTTAAATGAGCTGATACTAATAACTACTGTTTTGCCATATGTATGAGCTAATTCTGTTGGTCAAGTAATAAACATCATCATTTAAGAAAAATAGGATGGGTTGATATGTACTTCCACTCCTAAGTCAGCCACGGGATGGGACTTCCATTTATCTCGCTTGACTCTCAGCCCAGCTGGTGTTTTCGCTGGGACCTGGGGCAGGTGCCTGGGTGAGCAGGCTTTTTTTTTGCTCTTCTTATTTCAATAGCTTGTCTTTTTTTTTTTTTAATTTTTTTTTTTAATACAAAGGGTATTACATATGTGTCCATTTTTTTCCCTGCCCTAGACAGTCCCCTAGCCTCCCCTATTCCCCAGTGTCTTATGTCCATTGGTTATGCTTATATGCGTGCATACAAGTCCTTTGGTTGATCTCTTACCCCCCTACCTCCCGCCCCCGAACCCTCCCCGGCGAGCAGGGTTTTACTTGTCTGTCTGTGACTCGTATGGAACAGCGCTCACTTACTGAATTAGATTCACATGCAGGGTGTTATACATATTTTATAATTCTCGTATTTTCCAGCTGGGCTGGAGATGAGAGGAAGGTAATAGAGTTTGTTCTGCCTGTGGTAGAGCAAATCTTATCTTACTTTCATCATTTTTAACTTACAGAAGTCATAGAGTAAAAAATATAAAATAGGAAGGGTAAGGAGAGTTTTGCTGTACTCTGTAAAGAATTTGAGCACATTTAAGGAAAAGCTATAAGGAATGCTATCCTAGGTTTTTGTTTTCCTAAATGATGCTTTGGCTTTTATTTCTAATTTTAAACTTAGAATTCCGACGGTGTAGAAAATGGGTTGCAACAACATCTGGAGTATGTAAAACATTTTGCATAAATGAATAAAATGAAGAGACACTTGACATGAATCTCAATAGTAACCGCAGCTCTTTGGACCACAGTTAAGCAGATCCATTGCCCTCCAGGGCCTGGTTTTGCAGAGCAGTGGGTACGAGTCCCATTAGTGAAGTCACCTCACTTGGTTTGACTGTGCTTCCTGGTCTAGATCCAACTCAGAGCCATGCTTCAGAGCCCTCTGCTCACTCGGGAAGAAGTGTCCACCGAGGCAGCAAATGCTAGTTTCAGAAGGAAGGGAACCTCCGTGGGCTGTGGTGCCAGACTGCCTGGGTTCCAGTTCTGTCCGCACCGCTCACTGGTTGGAGGACTTGGGCCTGTGGTTTAACTTTCTGTGGGCCTGGTTTCCTCAGAAAATGGAGAGCATCCCAGTACTTACTGCCTCAGAGGGTGGTTTTATTACATGAATTGAGATAAACACATATATTTCCCACTTAGAGGGTGATAATTTCATATGATAGTTTCATTTAAAATTTTGATGAACTTTTTTTAGAAGTGTAACCCACATATAGAACAGAATAAAGATCATTTTAGTATGTAGCTTAGTGAATTATCGCAAAGTGCACATACCTCTGTATCCTCCAGTCAGATCAAGAAATAAAGTATGACCAATATTAGGAGCTGAATGTTTGTGTCTCCCCAAATTCATATGTTGAAATCCTACCCCCCAATGTGATGGTATTGGGAGGTGGGGCCTTTGGGAGCTAATTAGATCACACAGGTAGAGTTGTCATGAATGTGATTAGTGCCCTTATACAGGGACCCCAGAGGGCTCCCAGGAGGTCCTCTGTGTGCCAGGAAGTGGCTTCACTAGACACTGGACTGTTGGTGCCTTGATCTCGAACTTCCCAGCCTCCAGAATTGTGAGTGTGTATTTAAATACAAAGCACAACGCCCTTTTTTCCTTATGTCCACGCTTATATCAGAGGCGTAAACAAATCTTATTTCATTACATACCACACGTATTGGTCATATACCTTATCTGCAAGGGAACGTTACTTTTGGGGTAATAGAAATCTTGAGGGATTCAAATGCCCAACACTTTACACAACGTGAGCATTATTTTTGAAACAACTGCTCCGAACCCTTATTTTTACAGGCCTGTTTGAAAATAAATTTTACTTTCCAATAGAGCTGAAAAG